CAGCCCCCCCAAATGGTGCTGAAATCCACCTGGCCAGGCCTGGGAGGCCTTGCTGAGGGCAACCCACTGTGTAGAATTGTGCTAGATGAGTAGGGCCCCATCCCAAGTCAGGGGGCTGGCTAACAGTGGAGGCAGAGGGCAGCCCCACACATTTGCATGGGAAACCATGAGCTGACCATGGAGCCCTGTGTATGGAAGAGTGGAGAGGACATAGGGCAAGAAGGCCTCACTGGCTTAACTGGGGCTTCCTGGCAGAGCCCCCTCACTGGGCAGGAGCTTCCTGGGTAGGGCTGGGCTGTGGAAGGAGGTCCTGAAGGAGGCAGTGGCAGGGTGGATGTAGGAGGTTATGGGAGTCCTCAGAGACCTCCTGTCCTCCATCAGGTAGAATGCTAACAAACCCAATGTCTCTTCTGCCCTTCAACTGTCCCAGGTTTCTCTGGCTTTTGCAGGGCATGTAACAGTCTTGTTGTTTGATGTCTCTTTGTCCTGTGTCTCAGTTCACTCAGACACAGTGATTCTCCCCTTTGATGAGGAAGTCCCAGCACAAAAGTAATGCCTGCTCCATCAGATTAGGAGACTTTCTTCCCCATAAGATTGGGGGTGCCAAGGTAGAGAGCATGTGTCCTTGCTTGGTATGGGCTCCCTGCTCCTAAGCAGAGGCAGGATCCAGAATCCCAGAGGGGTTTCTTCACTGTCCTCTCTCTTGGGGCCATCTCCAGATCAGTACTCAGCCCCTGGCGGTGGTTGAATCCTGCAAATGCAGAGAAATAGGAAGGCAGGGGTCACAGCTGGCCAGGAGGCTGCTCCCTCTTGCCTACCCGAATCCACCAACTGTCTAATGGATGCTTCCAGGTCTTTCCCCCCGAGTGTTCCCTTCCCAGCCCACTGCCCAGGCTCCAAACCACCAACCTTCCTTGCCACTCTGTGCCCAGTGTACTTAAGCTTGCTGATTAACTTAACTGAGAGGCTGAAGGGCTCCTAGGGGTAGGGAAAGATGGGGGGAAGAAGATGGGGTACAGGGAACCAAATCAAGGGTACCAAAGCATGGCATTGGGGCTCCTTGTGTCTCTTCTCAGGACTGTCTGGTCCTGTTTCTCCACCATCACTAGTAACAACCATCCTACCTGTGTCCTTTTTGTCCCAGATCACTCCCCGTCTGTTTCATTCCACTTCCACAGGTGTAAATGGATATATTTTATCCTCATTTCTCAGTTGAGAAAATCAGAATCTAGAGAGGAGAAGGGACCTCTTCAAGGCTACATGCAAGGAAAAGACAGAGCCCAGGGTCTAGCTCTCAGATCCCAGCTAGACCAGAGCCATCCCAGGGGCCCTTACACACACTCGATCTGTCCCCCTAACTATATCCCTCTCTAGAAATCATGGGCTTAGAGGTGTGTAGCCTCCTTCAAGTGACCGAATCTCTTTGAGCTTTATTTTCCCTGTTTGTAAAAGATTCAGAACTTCACAGACCCGTCAAATGAGGCCCCACAGAGAAGGCTGGTGGTGGTGGTCGGGGGGTCTGGTCCCCTAGGATGGGCCAGGGAGCTTCTGGAAACTGAAGTCGTAAGTAGGCTGCAGTCTTCGTCCCTTAAGATCTCTCTAGATCTCTGTGGACAGAGGGAGAGACTTGTTCTCCTCAGCACCTAGAGCATTGCTATGGCGACACTTTATCCCAGAGGCCTGGTCCACATCCTCTCAGACAGCAGAGATCTGTGGGCTCTGCTCTGCTTCTCTTCAGTTTGGTATCTGGATCCACAGAGGTCCCCAGTTCCCCACTAAGGGGAGGAGCGACAGGGAACCAGGAAGGAACACGCACCAGAAGTCAGTAGGGAGTGTAGACAGCTAGAATTTGGAGAACGGGAGAAAAGGATGGGTTAGGAGGGGACACTAGGTTAGGTAAGGTAGAGTACCTTGGGTTTCATGCCTTAGCCAGCAGAAACCAAACGACCAGTGGCTGTCCATAACTGCAGTTTTAAACACAACCCCTGTGATCTGTAATTATCTCCTTAAGATTTTGCTTTATTTTAAAGACAGGTTTCATGTAGCCCCGGCTGGTCTCAAACTTACTATGTAGCCAAGGTTGACCTTGAGCTTCTGATCCTCCTGTCTCTACCTCCCTAGTGCTGGGATTATATGTGATGCTGGGGATACAACCTAGGGCTTCATGTATGTGAGGCAAGCACTCTACCAAGTGAGCCACATCCTCAGCCTCCTCCTTAATATTCTATGTAAAAGCACTTTAAAAAAATCTAATTCGAGCACCTGGAGAGATGGCTCAGTGGTTAAGAGCACATACTGCTCTTGTAGAGGATCCAAGTTCAGCTCCCAGCACCCATGTCAGGCAGATCACAACTCTCTGTAACTCCAGCTCCAAGGGGTCTACACCCTCTTCTGGCCTCCAAGGGCACCTGCACTTATGTTCACAGACCCACACACATATACACATAATTAAAAATTAACCCTTTTAGGGGCTGGAGAGATGGCTCAGTGGTTAAGAACACTGGTTGTTCTTACAGAAGACCCGGGTTCTAATCCCAGCACCCACATGGCAGCTAACAACTGTCCATAACTCCAGTCTCAGGGGATCCGACAGCCTCTTCTGACCCCTGCAGGCATTGCACAACATGGGTGCACTTACCTACATGCTGGCAATACACGCATAAATTTTTAAAAATTTTTAAATAATTCTTTTAAAAAGTACGTTAGGAGCTGGAGAGATGGCACAGTAGGCAAAGGGACATGCTATTGATCCCAGGGACCCACATGGTAGGAGAGACTCTGACCTTCACATGTGTGCTGTGGCACACTCACACTCACACATACACACACACGCACATACATACACACACACATGAATGCACATGAAATCAAGAAAATGTAATAAAAAAATTTAAAAACCTAATTCAAGGAAGCCACACTCTTGTCAAAGAATATCATTTCCTGTAAGTAGATGGAACGCTCAAAATGACTGACCTAAAACCAGCGTTGTGGTTAAATTCTGCCCAGATGCTGTCACCTGCCCGTAGCGCTAAGCCCAGATCAGGCCTCTCTGTCAGGAACGTGAAGAGTTGTGTTAGACACAAGCCAGGGCTGTGTGACCTATGCAGGAGCCACCAACCATGCAGGACTTTGCAAAGTTAAATGAAAATTAAGTAGCATGGACTGGGGATATGACTTGTCTGGAATGCATAAGACACAAAGGCCAGGTTCTACCTTGTTCACCATGAGCTCATTGACCATTCAGGAGTGCAGTAGGCACTCTGGTAAATGATCTGATAAATGAATGGATGAATGAGTGAATGAATGAATGAACAAAAAAAATCTTGGAGAATGCCAGATATGGAGAAGGAAAGGGAAGGGGGAAAGAAATGGAAACAAAGCGGGGGGGGGCGGTAAGGGGCAGGGTCCCCGGCTGGTGTGCTCTCTCTCTCTCTCTCTCTCTCTCTCTCTCATCATTTGCTAGGCCAGAGATGGGCAAGAGGCTTACGCACTGGTGGGGATGAGGAACCAGTTCTGCTCCACCCACCCACCCTCCCTATCTTTTTGCCCCAACAGCTGGGGTAATTGATCAAGCCACTCCTGCAGCCTCCTGAGCATGATTCATCTGAACCCCACAGTCCCTTCCAAGAGCTAGAAAAAAGAAAACAAGTTCCAGCTTCCTGGCCTCTGCACAGAGGACCAAGGCCTTTACCTCCTCCAGACACCAAAGGGGAAGTCAGTGAGAGGGATGAAGTCACCTGAGTGAGGTCACCCCTTCCTCCTGGGAGGTCACTCAGAGGTCTGGAATCACCCCTCCCATGGCTATCCGTGGAAACCACAGTCCAAATCTTATGTGTCACACAGAAGGAAACTGAGGCCCAAGGAGGGGAGACTTGCTGAGGCCACATGCTTGGGAGCAGAGCCAGGTGGGCGACTGAGCCTTTTAGAGATGGGCTCTGGTGTCCACATCAACTCCCTCTCACCCTCTTCTCCTGCCTTCCTTCCTCCCTTGGCTTTTGCAGTATCTCCACAAAATGTAGGACTATTCTTTTTAAAAAAATATTTTATTTATTATTTTTATTTTATGTGTACGAGTGTATTGCCTGCATGTATGTGAGTACACCCCTGTCTGTGCAATGCCGCAGAGGTCAGAAGAGGGCTTCGGATTCCCCTGGAACTGGAGTTAAGGACGGTTCGTGGCCTCCATGTGGGTACTGGGAATCGAACCCGGGTCCTCTGCAAGAGCAGTCGGTGCTCTTAACCGCTGAGCCATCTCTCCAGCCCCAGGACTATTCTTAAATATAAACAGAAGTGCTGTCACCCTACAGGTGGACATGTGTTCGTGTGTTGGCTTTGGTATTCCACAGTGACTTGGTGTGTGTGTGCTTTTTCCAAAGGTGAAATTGCATGTTGCACTGGTTTTTATCTCTTTTCTTAAGTCAGACTTACTGACATATAATAAAAATCTAGCCAAACTCCTTCCTCCTTTAGACTGTATCATTCTGAGTTTAAAAATTTTTTTACACTTGGTTATTTATTTTTGTGGGGGAGGGGCACATACCACAGCATGCTTTATGGAAGTCAGAAGACAACTTAAAGGAGGAGTCATTTCTCTCTTTCTACCATGTGGTTTCCAGGGATCGAACTTAGGTTGTCATGTTTGTGTAGCAAGCACCTTTACCCACTGAGCCATCTCACCAGCCCTCATCCTATGAGTTTTGACAGATGTATTTTACCATGAAACCATACCCCTCCCCTGAGTCTCAGGTCTTGGGCATCCATGTCAGTGTGGATAATCTAAATGCCCAACTAGAGGGGATTGTCTTTAAAAACAATGGAATGTTTAGGTCACAAAGCATTTACCCTCTCCCTTGGGGCTGGGCACAGAGGTTGCTTCATGTCCTTCACTGCTTCCTAGTCTCTGGGAGGGACTTGGTCCCCAGGGCAGTGTTTAGAGGTGGACAGAAGCATGACCCTGTGCCCTGCCTCTCATGAAGCCCACTGTGTGTCACTGGCTGCAGGGAACAGGCTGGATGAGGGCTCAGACGTGGAATCGGAACCTGACCTCCCGCTGAAACGCAAGCAGCGCCGCAGTCGTACCACGTTCACAGCCGAGCAGCTGGAGGAGCTGGAGAAAGCCTTCGAGAGGACCCACTACCCGGACATCTACACCCGAGAGGAGCTGGCACAGAGGACCAAGCTCACAGAGGCCCGCGTCCAGGTGAGGAGACACCAGGTGTTCACTGTGGTCCAGAGACTGGGATGGAGAAGACAAGGTGGCCAAATCCTCACCCTAGGGGTTTGCCATGGGTAGTCCTCAGACCATGTGCACAGTAATGACCCCAGCTGGTGAAGGAGCACCACATGCTGGTTGACTGACTAACTGATTGACAGAAAGGTGGAGAGCCCAAGGAGGAGGATGGATGCAGAGTGAGACAGGGGAAGAAAAAAGAAAAGAGAGAGAATGGCAAGAGAAGAGGGGAGGGAGGGATGGAGAGAGAAAGAGAGGGCACCAGTCAGCCAGAGCAGGGCACATAGAGTCTCCAAATCACTCATGAGGAGGGACATTTCCCAGCAGGCCTCTATCTTCCTCAGACAGGGAGTAAGCTCTCCGATGCTGGAAGGATGCAAAAGACAGGGCAATAGTGTTCTGGGTAGATTTGAAGCATCGGGTCAAGGCAGGTTCACCGAAGACGTTAAACACCCTCGGGCTCATGGTCCCTCCTCAGTGGGATTGGTAACAGTGAGAAATGTCAGAGCTAGCTGAGGTTCCAGGCCTGCACGGGGGAAGCAAAGTTGGCCCATCTCTTCTCAGGGTGAGCCCTGGAAATATATTCAGCATCTCTGCACCCACCTGGAAAGGACTAAGGCTGGAGGCGGGGAAGGCATGACAGTCCTGATGAATGGCTTGTGTGGGAACCTGGTCCTGGGCATCTCCCACCATGGTCAGGGGAGACGAGGCATCTGCAGAGGGGCCATCCAAACCATGGCATCATGTGTGTGTGTGTGTGTGTGTGTGTGTGTGTGTGTGTTTGTGTGTGCGTACTGCGTGCGTGCTGGCACTGGCTGCCATCCACAGTGTTCAAGGTGATGGAAATTCAAACTCACATGTCAAGTTGGGATGGCCATTCCCCCAATCCAAGTCACAGGTGCAGAAACTGGCATGCAAAAGAAGTGACCTGGAGGCCACAGAGCTGGCCTGGCCTGGCTGACTCTAAAGCCCATGTTCTTTCTGTGCCCAAGAGGAGGAAATGACTCAGAAGCTGGAATTGGAAAGCACTAGGCAAGGTCCTGGAAGAGTCTGGCCTTAAGCCCTCCAGGAACCAGTGTCTTTCCCTCCACCCTCCCACCCCTGGTAATGAAGGGGGAGGGCAAGGAGAAGAGGGCAGTGAGCAGCAGCCAGCTCATCTCCCCCAGCCCCTCCTGGTGACACTAGAGCTGCAGGCTGCCTTCCCTCATTCCTTGATCCTTGCAGCTGTTGTCCCGGGCGCATTCCTCCCTCTTTTCTCACTGTCCAGTCTGGCAGCCTCGCTGCTTCCCACCACCCAGAAGCCTGGCAGCTCCTTGTAAAAAGTTTCTGGCTGTCAGAGCAATGCTTTTATTGGCCCAAAGGACCAAGGAAACAGGTGTCACTCAAGGTCCAAGGAGGGAGGAATCTGGGAAAGGAAGGCAAACCTAGGAAATTTCGAGTCCCAGGCTGATTCTCCACCATACCCCGGGCCCCTCCTTCCATGACCTGTGAGCTCCCAGGGTGGGGCCAGAGCAGAGGAAGAAACAAACAAACAAAATGTTGAGCTTTTTAAAGGATGGACAGAGGCTGACCCAAAAGTTTAAGAAACACTTAATCCTGAGAGGAGTCTTGAAGCTGCTCAGAGGTTTTTGGAAGTAGGGTGAGGGCTGACCACGCAGCGGCTCAAGGCTAGCAGTGAGGTCTGCAGGAGGAGGTTGTGGACAGAGAGTCCCCTTTCCTGCTGATGACCAGTGGCATCCCTTTTCAGTAGCTAGCTTAGCTTCTGCTCCCCAAAGGATGTTTCCATGAGGAACATGGGATGGAGCTCAGTAGCCGCCAAGGCTCCTTCAGGTTCCAAAGTGCTCCCGACACCACAGATGGCCAGTGAGGAGATAAGATCCCTGTCTCTGGAAGCATTCAAACAGAAACATAGTGTTCGGTGGGTAGGGGACCCTGGTGAGGGGCTCCTGCTATGGGCAATGGGGCAGAGACTCCAAGGTTCTGGACACTGTGAGACTCTAGCTCTGCTTCCTGTGTCTTACTCTCTACATTGAAGAGTCTGTGGTTCTCAGGTCTCACAACTCAGTGACATCTCATCTTAATGGGTAGGTGAGTGGTGTGGTTGTAGGTGGGTGTGATTCCAGCCCCATGAATATCCTTTCTGACCCCAGTCTCTTCTGCAAAATGGAAAGCTGGGTGTTGTGGTGCACACCTTTAATCCCAACACTCGGGAGGCAGAGGCAGGCGGATCTTCCGGCAGTGACTGTTCTACAATCCTGAATTATTTACTATCTGGCTCTTTACAAAAAAAAAAAAAAAAAAAAAAAAAAAAAAACCATAACAGAAGAGTGTGCCTCCTTCTAGGGTTTCAGGGTTCAATGTAAAGCAACAAAAAGATAATAGGAAATGGGGCCAGGGATGTAGCTTGGTTGATAGAGTGCTTGTCTAGCATAAACAAACAAGGCCCTTGGTTTGATCTCCAGCACCACATAAACATGGTACTGTGGTACACATCTGTAATCCTAGCACTTGGGAGGTGGAGGCAGGAGGATCAGAAGTTTAGTTATCCTTTGCTACATAGTGAGTTTGAGGCCAGCCTGGGATACATGAGACCCTGTCTTGGGAAAAAAAATAGGAAATGCCTAGCACCCAGAAACACATAAAGGCAGGCTGCTCACAGCTGCCTTTGCAGCTTTGTCCTCTGGCATTATTTATTGAGCACTTGCTGTTTGCCTTGTGTGGCTTTAGACTCTGGAGATTCAACAGGCTGAAATGTCTGCACCTGCAGAGCTGCTGTGTCCCTGGACAGGTCAGCAGGTGTCCAGGGCCAGCTCCTAGCACTGGTATCACTGGCATCAGTGGAAAGCCGGGCCATGGGATGGGAGGACCCTTGGCCCTATTCTGGAGGATTCCCCATTCCAAACAGCTGATGGCCTGGCCCCAGCCTGGCTTGCCTGTTCCTTGAGGGTGAGCAGGTCTGTTTTCTGAGTGCCCAATCCTGTGCCTAGGTGCTTCTGGGAACAGAAGTCATGGGTCTGATGGACCTGGAGGTCACCACGTGTCACTTCCTGCTCCCACTTGGGACAGCTTTCCCACCCTTTGGTGATAAGAGCCAAGACCCTTGGACATTACACGGTGATGCGCCTGATTTGAAGCCCTGCTATCGGTTTCATTTGTTTTTCTGATCAGAAACCCCATTCTAGAGGCACAGTTTAGGTTGTATCTTTTAATGGCTCTAGAGAGTGTTTATGGCATATCCATGACGCAGTAGGTGCTGGTGCTCACCACACTGTGTTGCCCTCACATCTCACTGCAGCCCAAGGGGGCAGGGGGATTATTATTTCCCACATTGCAGATGGGGACACTGAGGTTGAACTGTAGGAAGTTTTCTGTGCTATGTTAAGAGACAGCCAGGTAAAGCACTCAGCTGTATAAGCAGCTAGTGCCTGCAGTGTACTGATCCCAGTGGTGGGGGTGTAGATAAAGGCTCAGAAAAGGAATAATCGGGGTCAGGGGTGTGGCTTGGCTGCAGAGCACTTGTCTGTATTCATCTCCTAGCACTGCATCCTCACATACAGAAACATAAAACACTGGGGGCTGGTGAGATGGCTCAGTAAGTCAAGGTGCTTACTGCCAGACCTGACGACCAACTTAAGTTTGAATCTACATCATGGAAAGAGAGAACCTACAAGTTGCCCTCTGACCTCCACATGTGCAACATAGTATGTTCATGCCCCCCAATTAATTAGTTAAAACCCCAATCTTGATCAAGGCTCTTGGTGGGGTACTGGGGCCACTTCCTTCTTAGAGACCCTGGGAGAAGGAGATGAGATCTAGAAGCAAGGAGTGAACCCTCTTCCGCAGGAAGCCCTCCTGGATTTTGAGAGGCGAGGTCAGAGGCACCTCACCTCCTCAAACCTTCCTTGGGGCACCACATGTACCGTCACAGTCTCAGGACGGTGCTCTAAAAGACAGCATGCCAAGGCTCACCTGATCCATGCCAGGCCCAGGGCAGTGTGAGGCTAGGATGGAGTACTGTTTATCTCTCCTCAGTGTCTCTTTTAGCACAAGAAAAGTCCCCATAAAGCCTAGGGTGAGGAGGAGGGAAGCAAGGGAAGAGGGAGGGGTGGGCAAAGGAAGAAGGGTGGGGGTAGGAAAGGGGCTCCCAGCCTTAGAACTCTGATAAAAAGGCGGCTACACAGAGAATCAGAGCACCCTCCAGCCACCTCTGGAGATTTTTGCCCTGTTCATTGTGAGCTATGGTGTTACCTGCTTTGTAATGAAATCAATGTATTTTCTTCTTTGAGATAGGGTCTCATGTAGCCCAGGTTGGCCTTGAATTTCTTATGTAACCAAGGATGATCTTGACCTTCTGATCCTCCTGCCTCCACCTCTTGATGCTGGGATTTATGTGCCACCATGCTTGGTTTATATGGTACTGGGAATGGAGCCCATGGCTTTTTACATACTGGGCAAGCACTTTACCAAGTGAGCAACATCCACCTCCAGCCCAAATCAGTGTATGTTGAAATGGAAGTGTGTATCCGTTCCATAAAGGAGTTGTAGAAACCATGCACACATAAGAAAGAACAGCATGACTTAAGTCTTGATAAACATCAGGTGCAAAGTCCCCTCCCTGTGTTCCAAAGGACTGAGGGCACATTAACACCAAGACCAGGATGGTTTCTCTCAGGAAGAGACTGGGGTGGAGAACCTTCCTCATCACCTGAGTTCAAAGTTGTATAATTCCCCCTCTGTCCAACTGGCTCATCTACGGGGTCCTCACCTACCCAGGAGGCTGGGAGCCAGGAGACAGTGCTCACAGGTGCCCCCCCTTCCTGCAGGTTACCAGTGGTCTCAGCCTGGCTGGTGGGACCCTCCCAGCCCAGGACCCCCTACCAAGTTCAGGGCCCTGTAGAGGTGTTCTCGGTACCTAAGGAAGTAAGGAGAAGCTGCGACTGATTTTATTTGGAGCAGGTTGATGTTACTTCTGTTGCGTGTGTGTGTGCGTGTGTATAGGTGTGTGTGCTTGTGTGTGTGTCAGAAGTCTTCCTCAATCACCTTTCCACCGGATGTCATTCCTAGCCTGACTGCTTGGTGTCTTTGTTCTGAAAACAGCCATGAATCAGAGCAGCTCTTGAGGTTTAGGAAGCCAATTGGCTTTGTCCCGGGAAGGATAGAGAAAAGACCAGTGTCATCTCGAACTTCTAAGCACGTTCTCTCCCCGCCCCTCTAGCTGCCTGACTCCCCAATCTTGGCAGATGTGATCTTGAGGTTCGGGGTCGTGAGTGACCTGGTGCCAGGGCGGGTTAAGAGTCTTCACCCCTACAAGGGGTTCCAGCTGGGCCCTGTGGTTCCAGCAAAGACATATCAGAACCTCCCTGTGTTCCCTATTCCTTTCTAAATTCCTTCAGCATTTTTTGAGCACCTATGGAATACCCTGTAGGGAACAATTAATGCAGGGTCTTTGCCCTGGAGGCCCAGAACATTGGGAGAGATGGAGAGCCACTTAGCCAGGGGCACATACATAGAATGGTGGTTCATGTGAGGAAGGACTCGGGGTGACACTCTCTGGAGAAAGCAGGACCCACCTGTCCCACCTTAGAAGTAGCATGAGGGTGTCAGCCTAGGAGAACCTTTCTGGTGAGAGGGAAAGAACAACATTGCTCAAAGCTGGAGATGAAAGTGTGCATGCGTGCGTGTGTGCGTGTGTGTGTGTGTGTGTTCTGTATACTTGTGTCTGTGTGTGCATGCACATGTGTGTTGATGTGCACGTGTGTATGCATGTATGTGTGTACCTATACCTGTCCTATTGTCCTATTCCAACAGGGCCAGAGCTTTGTAAGCAGAGCTGGGTCTCAGCTTCCAGGTTGAGAACTAAAGAGTCAGTTGGCACATATGGGTCCAAGGGTGGCCTCACTCAGGAGGTACTGCATGTGTGGCCTCTTCCTGGAGGGCTTCCTAGAGGAGGAGGGAGGCTCGGAGCACAGGTGGGCCCTGGAGCCCTGGGCTGGAGCACTTGCTATAGGAAGACTGGACTGAGAGTCTTAATAGGCTTCCTTGGCCTCCAGTCACCCTATCCTGTGGCCAAGTTACCTCCTTTCTCTAGTTCTCAATTTCCTCCCCTGTAAAGCAGGGGTCATGCTAAGAACCCCTCCCTGGATGGCTATAAGAGGATCTGAAGCACCCCCTCTCCAGCTGTCCAAGGTCTCACAACAGTGGGCTCCATGTCCTGAAGATGGACACTGACCAGCTGGAAGCTGCTGGCTACAGGACCCCCAATGTCGGTGCTTCAGCTCTCCCAGGAGCCAGACTGAGCCTCTTCTTCCCCCTCAGGTCTGGTTCAGTAACCGCCGTGCCCGCTGGCGCAAGCAGGCAGGAGCCAACCAGCTGGCTGCTTTCAACCACCTTCTACCTGGAGGCTTCCCCCCCACTGGCATGCCCACACTGCCACCCTACCAGCTGCCGGACTCCACCTATCCCACTACCACTATCTCCCAAGGTGAGTGTCTGTGGCCCCTGTCCCTCCCCCATGTGTCTGCCTTTCCTTTCTCTTAGAAAAGTTAACCTTTTGTTTGACTATTTGTCTATTTCTGTGGGAGGATGGGTTAAGATAGAAAAGATGGAGTCCTATTATGGTCCTGCCCTTGAGAGTGATGGTCACTCAGGGCTAAAGAAGCAACCTCCTCCTTCCCCTCACTCTGGTCTTTACTGGTCAGGCTCAGACCCCTGAGACCCGTCAAGGAAGGAAGATCCCTTGGGCCCTGTTTTTCCAGTGGCTTTTAAGATTTCAGCTTCAGCCAAGGGGAAGACCGAGGGAGGAAGGCAGAGGTAGGAAGGCCCAGGAGATCTGAGGGACCTCAGGTAGTGAAGTGAAGGTTTTCCTGAGCACCCCGCCTCTACCCCAGCCCACAAGTAATCCCAGCTTGTCTGGAGCTCACCATGTAGACCAGGCTGGCCTTGACCTCACAGAGATCTGCCTGCCTCTGCCTCCTAAGCGCTTGGATTAAAGGCGTGTGCAATGATGCCAGGCTTAACATCTGCTGTCAGCAAAGTCTGGTACTCAGGCATCCTGGAGGCCAAGAAGCAAGAGAGCTCCACCCATGATTTTCAGTAAGAAACTGAGTCATTGTTGAGGAAGGCAGGATCCTAGCCCAGCAGGCTGTATAGAAGGGCACAGGCAGCAAGCAGATCAGCAATCTGGGAAGAGAAATCGCCTCGCTCTGCTCACTCTGAACAAGGCTCACTTATTGGCCCTGACTCTCACAAACCATATGTAGCACAGCCCTGCCGAGCCTCAGTTTTCCCCTCTCTAAACTAGAACTCCCTCTTGCTTCATCCCCTTCCCCAGCATGAATAGAAACACCTGATAGGCAGCCAGTGCTCACAAGGTAGTAACAGTTTGGGTAGATAACAAGTCTCAGCAAAGTATTTATTGAACATATACTGTGTACCTAACACCAAGCACCTAACACCCATGTGCAAGTTGCCTCGAGGTTGACTGCTGGGAGCCAGCTTATCCCATCCCAAGTCACCTGAGAGGCTAGTCCCTCCCCTCCAGGGGACAAGACTGGGTGGAGGAGGTCTATGGCTGCTTTTGCTTCTTGCTCAAGGCCTCTCTGGGTTTCTTCTCAGATGGGGGCAGCACGGTACATCGGCCCCAGCCCCTACCTCCATCAACCATGCACCAAGGTGGTTTGGCTGCAGCCGCTGCAGCTGCCGACACCAGTTCTGCTTATGGGGCCCGTCACGGCTTCTCCAGCTACTCTGACACCTTCATGAACCCTGGGGCCCCCTCCAACCACATGAACCCCGTCAGCAACGGTCTGTCTCCTCAGGTAGGTAAACTCTGCTCTACCTGGGGTCCCATGGCCAGACTGTTGCTAGCCCAGCCAGAGGGGATCTGAGTAACCCAGAGGGTCTAAGTAACCCAGGCTGGCTCTCTTCAGAGGGGACAATGGTATTTCACTCAGAGTTCTAATGGTCTCTGGAAGCCACAGGTCACTGGGGATCCAGAATGTTTGAGTAGGAAGTGGTGTACCTGTCCTCTCTTGTCAGTGTCTGTGATCATGGATCCTGGGCTGATCTTCCAGTTGCAGACCTGGAGCTGGGAGAATGACTTGTGTTTCCACCCAAAGAGGCAACGATTGTAATTAAGACATGCTCTGAGTCCTACAGCCGCTCAGAGCTTGATAGCTGGCCCTCTGGCCCATAGTGTCCAGTCACATATACCAGGCACATTCTGACAATGCACAGGGGAAGGCTTGCTCTGGGGTTTGGATCTAGAACCAAGGATCCTTCCTAGATCCATCCTGTGCTCTGTGTCCTGCCTTTCACCAGGAGTGACCCTTGGCTGGGCAAGGCAGGGATCTCTTATTGGTGGAGAGAATTACTGATAAGGTTCTAGATCAAGACTTCTTGCATTGGGGCGTAGAAACTCACAAGCAGCCCAGTCACCCATGGCCTGATAGTGATTTTAGAAGCCATGGAGCTTGCTTTGGAGGAAGGTAGGCGTTAAATAACCCTGGAGCAGTTCCTGGTGGGTTTGGTGAACAGACCTGATGTTTGGTGTTTGAGTGGTTTTGAGGAGCTTGGATTCTTTTTGTTCAGCTATAACAGGCTCCCAAATCCCCCTGAGGGAAGGGGTTAAAAGGAGACTGGGTTTACTCTGCCTCCCACCTGCTGAGCCCCACCCCTGTCTGTAGAAGATAGACTTGAGGTGGGGAGCAAATTGACCTGAACAGCTGTGGTGTGGGGGAGAACATCCAGGCTTCAGGGAGGTTTAGAGCCTAGTTCTGCTATTCTGGGGCCCGTGTACATCCGGGAGCCTCAACCTTCCCCACTAACAGGGTCTGCTCCTAACAACCTACTGAGAAGTACTTGGTCTGTTCATTGTGCTGACAGGTCAAAGTCTCTAGCACAGCCTGGCACAAAATAGGGACTGAGAAAACACTGGTTTTCTTGGTCTTCTATTATCTGGACAGTATCTTAATAATATGGCAAACCTGTTATCTAAAGAAAGAAAACAGTCAAAGGGGTGGGACGTGGTTCAGTTGGGAGAATATTTACCATGCAAACATGAGGACCTGAGTTCAAATCCCCAGCACAGATGTGGTAGTGACACATATCTGGAATCCCAGGGCTGGGGAGGTACTTTCAGAAGGATCCCTGGTGCTCACAGGCTAACCAGCCTAGCTGAATTGGTGAGCTCCAGGTTTAGAAAGAGACACTGTCTCAGGAAGTAAAGCTGGAGAGTGAATGAGAACTATAGCAAATAGCAGCTTTTGGCCTCTGCACATACGTGCACGTACACACATGAAAGGGAGGGAGGGAGAGAGGAGGGAGAGAGAGAGAGAGAGAGAGAGAGAGAGAGAGAGAGAGAGAGAGAGAGAAAGGAAGAAAAAAAGAAAGTCAAAGGAGGTAGCAAGCTACTTGCTGCAGGCCACATCACCCAGCTACCTGCTTGTGTAAATAAAGTTTTATTGGAAGACAGCTTGTCCCTTGCTTTATGACTGACTGCTTTTGTGAGGAGATTGAAGACAGGGTTTCAGAAGAGGCCACAGGGCCAGCAAAGCCTAAAATGCTATCTTGCCTGCACACAGAGAACAAGACAAGCTCTGGCGTGACCCGTTGCCAGTGAGCTGTCAGGGTCTGTGCTGCTTCCTGTTTGCCTCTGTTCATTTCCGTAGATGAGGAGCCCCCGCATTTCAGTACCATCATTTCCTGGTGGGAAGACCTAGAGCAGGTTGGTCCCCCCATCTGTGCCTAGGTTTGTCTCATGCATGAGATGGGTATGGTGCTCACCCTATGGCTGGTGAGGACTGAATGTACTGGGTAAGGGTGAACAGCTACATATACAGCCCTGAAGCGGATGTGCAGGCCTCTGGGGATGGTTCCACCAATTTGGCAGGACTTGCCATCCTCACATTGACCCTCACAAGGCCTCCCAACTCTCTCACTGGCACCCCAAGTGGTGTTAGCGTCTTTGGGGTTCAAGGTCATGAACTGTGTTAGTGATGCCAGTGCTAACTAGCCAGCCTAGGCTAAACTTCCAGAACTGGTACAGGGGAACAAAGGGTTCCTGGCTCCCAGGTGGGGCTCAGGGGTAGAGATCAGGGATGGAGTTAAAGGTGAGAAGGGAAGGTGGGGGTGGGGAAACCAACCTACCACGGGGGAGATATCCCCTGGGGGCCGGAAGTCCTGTTTCCTATCCCTGCTGGAAGTTCCCGAGTTGGATCCATAGGCCCCTGTCCAAGAGACCCCCGTGAAATGAAATGCAAACTAGAAACCAGAGCCCCCAGGGTTGGCTTCCATCCCCAGCAGTCCATTCCATCCATCCTGGTCCCTGGACTGAGAGGCTTGGAGGACATGATGGATTGGCTGCCTCTGAGCCCCCCCCCCCCTCAGGTTCCCACCAAAGGTGTGAAGACAGATGGAAGGTCTGACAGGGGCAGAGGGGACACCAGGAGAACAGCTGCAAGGGAGGGGCTACCCCTCAGGGAAGGGGCATGGGCAGGCAGGTGGTGCATGTGGGCGCGCGCGCGTGTGGAATGTGGTATGTTTGTATGGTGTGTATGTATGGATGTGTGATATGTGTGTGATGTGGTATGTATATGTAGTATGTAGGTGTGTGGTGTAGGGGTGTGGTATGTGTGGTGTGGGTATGGTATATGTATGTGTGTGATGTGTAGTGTGTGTGTGGTATGTGTATGGTGTCTGGTGTGTATGTGGTATTGTATATGTGTGTGGTATGTGTGTGTGTGTGGTGTAGTGTGTGTATGTATGTGGTGTGTGTATATGGTGTGTGTGTGGTGTTTTGTATGTGGTGTGTGTGTGTGTGTGTGTGTGTGTGTGTGTGTGTGTAGTATGGTGTTGGGGTGGGGGCTCTTGAAGCTTCTAGTCAGATCTGGGACAGGCATGCTCATCTTGCTGGTGGCCTGTGGCTGTTTGTGGGAAAGCAGACCTCATCGCATGCATTGACCAGGGATCCTTGTCTCCACCCAGTCCTGGAAGTGGGTGTCTCCAACCTCAGGGACTCCCTGGAGAGGTCCAGCCAAATCCACAGAAAGTCATTTGTTCTTGCAGTTCTGTAAGGTGCCCCACTCTAGAAGGGCATCTAAGAGGACAGATGCACTGAGTGCAGGCTGTGCCCCAGGCCATGCCCCTGCACTTGGGACAGATCAGTGAAGGCACAAGGGACCCCAGCTCTGGACACATCAGCGCAGCAGAGCAGCAAGCCTAATAAAACCCAGGACCATGGTGACTCCAAGACAGGACAGGGGCACTTCCTGCAGGCCTGTGACCTCAGACCCTGCTCTGATTGTTATTCCTATTTTAACCCATGTATGGAGTAAAATCAGGGTTCAAACCCTTAGAGAATTCCAGATCTTAACTGCTCACCATCCTGCCTTGTAGAAACGGCCCACACTGGCCCAGTGAGGTGGGAAAAGTTCCTTTGAACCATGTTGTAAATGTGGAAATAGGCCAAGGACTATGGGTTGAAACCACTGGCAGAGCTGAATCAGATGGGCAGGAACCTTCCCCGAGGCTTGGTTCCCTCAAAGCCCTTCACACACAGACCCCACCTTATAGTACCAGACACTAAGCACTCAGAGCAAGACCCCCTGGCTTTTGCCCTGAGTTCTGAGGGAAGCCCTCCAGGGACCTCACTTCTGATGTCTGTCCTAGGGTTAGGACTTGCTCCTGGCCCAGGGTCAGTTACTTAGAAAATAGCTCTTAGAAGCACACCGACCTGGCATGGTGGCACACCCTTTTAATCCCAGCATTTAGGAGGAAGAGACAGGCAGATCTCTGTGAGTTCTAGACCAGCCTGGTCTACATAGTGAGCTCCAGACCAGCTAGGGCTACAGGAGGATCAGGAGCTCAAGGTCATCCTTGGCTACTTAGTGAATTCAACGCCATCCTGGGCTACAAGAGACAGTGTCTAAAGAGAGACAGGCAGGCAGGAAGGAAAGAGGGCCTTGACAGTAGGAAAGAAGAAAGGACAGGAGGGAGAAGGAAGGGAGGAAAGAAAGGAGGGAATTCTTTGCAAAGTCAATCTTCTGATTTGGATGTCAGGAAGAGCACAGGAACTGGAGAACAAGGAGGATTCCAGTCTGATGAAGGAGTCCCAGTCTAATTATAAAACAGAGCCCTGGCCTTAGGAAGTAGCATGGCAGAGACAGTCCTAGTCCCAGGTGCCCTGGTGTGATGGCCAGAGCACAGCCCTCCCTTGTCGAGGTTCTAGTGGGAGGTGGAGACAGCTACTAGGAAGCTGAGAAACCGCCATACTTATCCACCTCAGAACCCAAGCAAAGGGTCAGGAGCAGAGTTCAGGGCCCCTGTGCTGGACACTCTTCAGGGGCTGAGTCTCGTGATGTGGGGGCAGAGGGGCTCATTCCCTGGTGTGTTTGAGTCTTCCTGTTCTTTGATAGCTACGAACTCTGCCAGAGATGGAAGTGGAAACTGAGACCCTGAGATTCAGGGTCCCAAGAGTCAGCCTAAGGCACACTATAGGCCCTGATTCCAGGGTTCCTACTACTGTGTCACAGAAGGGGACAGGGTTGCCACCATGGTAGCTAGTGCTTGCTCTTCACGTCCCTTTGTCCCTCTCAGACTTCACAAGATAGAGCCCACACGCCTTTAATCCCAGCACTGGGGAAGCAGAGGCAGGTGGATCTTTGTGAGTTCGAGGCCAGCCTGGTCTACACAGTGAGTTCCAGGACAGCTGGGGCTACAGGGAGACCCTGCCTCAAAAAATGGGGGGAGTTACATATTTAAAGCCCCCAACCAGGCAAATGAGTCTCTAGGTGGGCTGTTAATCACGTGACCAAGACCT